CTTTCGTGAACCAATTTTGATAAGCAATATCAGAGGTGGGGCAAGATCGAAATGGCTTAAAATTACTTTTTACATAATCCAAAACAAAGGGGTCCTTAGGAGGAACAGTTGGGGTTTCTATGGTATTTGAACTAGGAGATTCTACTGCCTTAGGGGCGTCCATTTTGTTAAATAAGGGTTTGAAGCTATAACAAACTGGGAAAATCGTCCTGGTGTCTTTTAATATTTCAAAAACTGTAAGAGGGCCATTTAAAGCTAACCTCTTACCAGCAACGTTGGTAGGAATGAGTACCTGTGACGCATACAGCATTTCTTTTTCTTTTGAAATCATCTGAGGGGCAAGAACGGATTGACCTTGGTAAGTGATGATTTTACTTTCCATGGTAGCTCCTGCAGTTTTTCCTTTCTTCTTGGAGACTTTCTTGAGTTGGGATGAAGTAGAAGAAGACATTTTTGAAAGATGTTGAAAGCTTGGATTTTTTTTACGAGAGAAGGAGGGTAAAAGATTTAGAGTGTGAAAAGAAAAGAAAAAAGATTAAGTTGGTGATGTTTTATAATGGGGAAGTTTAAGCATCCACCGAATAAAGGTGTGATACGTGGAGATCATGGGTTGGTGTGATGAAGAGGTGGCGTAAAGTTAACATGGGTAATAGGCGTGATTTAAAGATAATCATTATTTGTAACTGCACCATGCTGTGAAGTGGCTCCAGGCGGTTAAGGAATCCAAAAGGTGCTATGATTGACGTGACTGGAGTCAAATGCATTAAATGTTACGATGATTCGAAAGTCCCATCAAAATCTTGTGTAGGTGTTTAAAATAGGTATTTCTCAGAGGAATCGAAATACATATTTTAAAGGGGCAATTTGTTGGCTGAAGATTTTGATAATGTTATTAGAAGCCAAATGAATTAAACGTTTTGATCGAAATGAGGTAAAGCGTCATGTTTCGAAGTAGCAGAAGCAGTGTTTCGAATAAGTATGTCAAAGCTTGGTGCTTCGAGTGGCAATTATGGGAACATATCTAAAGAATTCTCGAAATAACAACAAGGCTGTGTCTGGGAAGAGCGTTCGAAACGGAGAAGTACCAAAGCATTTGAAATTCAAATGGAAGCGGGACTTTCGAAGTTTGAAAGTTATGTGCTGGAGCATTTGGGGACACATGGAAAGACGAAAGAGGCATTGTCCTGCATGTTCTAAACGTGGCATAATCCTATAGCAAGACCATTATGGTCGAATTAGTATAAATAGAAGTCTTAGTATTAGGATTTGGGGTGTCATATCTATTATACAAAATACTCAGTAACATTCAAACTACCACATGGCAAGGGAAACGAATGCAAGAGAAATGTATGTATGATAGCACCATGTATTTCTGATTTAATGAAAACCTTTTACCATTTCCAGCACTTTCCTTTATCCTTTTGTCAAATAACATTTACAAGTTTTCTCATTTACAGTCTTTTTCACTTCGAAATCTCTTCTTCAAAGTTTTACATTTTAATGTTTTCTTCATATTTCAAGCACTTTATATCTCAGAAAACTGTCATATTTTTCATACCTTTACCTTCAAGTCTTATCCTTCGAACGCATATTTTTACTTAAAGTCATTTAAAGATTTCTTGCATTAAACGCTTTCTTCATATTTCAAACCTTTTACGTTCCAGAAATCCTTTATATTAACTGTTTTGTAAGTCGAAACCATTTACTTCACTTTTATGCAATTTTACATGTCTTTACAATTAGCATTTATTCATGTAACTTAGTTTTCACACACACATTTTGATTACATCTTTAGACTTTTAGAGAGAGAAATCGAAATAAGCCAAACACATATACAATATCAACCATGAATATCTATTCGATCGTGAGAGTAACCTTAATATCCAAGGAGTCCTAGGATCAATCTAGTCGATCCTGTGAGTTACCAGAGGAATTGAATAACAGTCAGAAAGATTATTCGATAGTTTGGAAGACTAGCGGTTGTTTACCAGAAATCACTGGAAACAGGTGTATAATCAATGATTAATCTATGTAATAAATATGTTATGATATATGTATAATATTTTCAGTGTGATTTGGGGGTAAAAATTGAAGCTTTGATAGGGCTCCAATGGTGAAATCGCGTTTTTCTGGTTTTCTGTTCTGAGCATTTTTGCCCAGTGATGACAGAGTCTCGCCTAGCGATCCTTCGCACGACGAAGGAAGATCTCACCCAGCGAGATGTGTTTTTTGTTTGTTTTGGGGTTTTGCTTGGTAAGCAATGGCTTCCCCTAGCGAGCCAAATGGTTGTCTAGCAAGGATAACAATATCGAATTTGCTACTTCAACTCGATTCTTCGATAACATTCTATTTTTGATGAATATTCGGTTCTATTAGGTATTGACCATCACTGTTTTGTCCTGCTACTGGTGATTGTTGAATTATTATAATGATGAAATAATAATTGATTCGGTTGTGTAATTATGTGTTGTGCATGAAATTATAAATGTTGTGTTGAGGTGTGTGGTTCGAAGTGGGAACTAATGTGAGTGCCTTATGGAATGTTGTATATGGTTAGAAGTGGAACCATAAGTGTTGCATTATTTGTATGTCATTCATCATACATGTCCGTGTTGAATTAGGCGAGTCATAAGTTCATAAGTGGAGACCGATGATAAGTCTGGGAGTTTAGAAGCGGGGACCCGATATTCAGAAGTGGGAACCCAGTTCAAATGAGGAGCCATTATTGAGTGGGCGAGATCAGTGACAAACCTCTTATGTCCAAATTGACACCACATACATTGATGTCGATTTGTGAGTCACATTGCATACATAAAGACTATGTGAGTTGATTGTTGTGTTGTACTGTAAATTAAATGTCTGATTGCTGATTTTTGTGTGAATGAATTATATATTTGTTATTTGTTGTTGTTGTTGTTTATGCTACCCTTTTCATCTTTTGCATCACTAACATATTTGAGCGTATTATCACTCCTTTGTTGTTTGTATTGTATTGTTCTGTACAATGTTGTAAAGATACACAAGAGGAGTAAGTGTCGGTGTGAGTTGGAAAAGGACTATGAAGCTCTCTTCGCTTCCTTTATTGTTTTAATATCATTTTAGTTGTAATTATTACTCTGATTTGTAACATCAGTGAACATGTCGTTTAATTTGTTAGAGTTAATGTTTAAATTTTGTTATTTGAATTAAGTATTTCAGTTTGAAGATATAAATTGGAATATGTGTAATTTATTGAGTTCGGTTGGGAGTTTTCGAAATTATTTGAAAATAATATGTATGTTTTGTTCGAGTAACCTCCTAAAATGAGTGTTTAATTCTTTTATATTAAGAGTCAGAATTTAGGGTGTTACATCGAGCCTAGAACAACATCTTCTTAGATGTAACTTAGGGGTGGCAAAACGGGTCGTAGAACGCCGGACCGGTCTGCGCATCCGCCAAAAAAGGCGCATTTTGGAATTTTAGAACTGCCGCCCACTAAAATCCGCCCGTCAAAGCCCGCCGACCGCCAAAATTCGCCGCTCGCCAAAGTTTGCTCCTGCCTATTCATTCAGCTTGTCCCGTCTTAAGTCCATCTTTTTTAGTTAATTCTATTAACTTCAATTCTTGACGGTTTTATTTTATATATTTATTTTGAATATATGCAATATTTTTAAATAAAATTTATTAAAAAAATGCATTATAAAAATTTATTCTAAAAGATAAGTGAAAAAACTAATTGAAATGTAAAAAAAGTCTATTAATCTATTAAAAAATGAAAAAATATAAAATAAAATAATAGGCGAGCAAGTCCGCCGCCCGCCTATCCGCCATCTTGGTGGAGTTTACTAGATTTTTATGTCCATTTTCACTTGACGGACGGTCCGTTTTATCACCTCTAGTGTAACCTATGAAAAGATTCTAGAGTCGTAGGACAAAGAATACACCTTCTCTACTTGATCAATACAAATGATTGAACCGTAAGATAACATAAGGATTAGTTTTATGTATTATGTCCCATTTAATCAGGAACATAAGGTTTTAGGTCTCTAAAACGCTATAATTGTATTATAATGACTTACAAAAGCATCACATCAAGGTATGCGTTTTTCTAACTCTAAAATATCTCTTGATTTTCAATTGTCACAAAAGAGTGTTTGCATATATCACTCATTGATGCGAAACTATAACATGAAGATATCAATCATATACCTGAAAATCACTATCAGATCTAAGCTCACTTTCACATATGTGAACACCTCATTATTACTATATTCAAACTCATTGCATGCTTGGTCAAACACGAGATTAATTATTAGTCAAATTCATTGCATGGTTGGTCAAACACAACATGTATTCTTGAATTGGTTAGGTTTGCCACTAGTTTAGTTAGTTGTTAAGGCTAGTGTACAACTTAATTAATTTAGTTAGAATCTTCTCTCGTGTACTGGACCCATTTCATAAATACAAAACGTAAGCATATTTTATTGAAGAACAGCACACCAAGAAAACCGTGCATTCAATGTCTTAGTGTGAAACGTTTTTGTTGTTTTGGTCGTTCCTAAAAGGATGGCATGATCCATCGCACCAGAGTGGTTGGTAAATGCATGCATATGCACCACTGCACGCAACACGGGTTTGTTTTCTTTTGATCTTTGACTCAATTATATTATATCCTACGCAAAACTAATTGGTCAAATCACAAGTAACCCGGACCCACTTCATTGTCTGCATGAAAGAACTCTAACACAGAAATACATTAAAAAACAGACAAAAAAACTAAGGTGTTGTTTTGTTACACAAACTTTTCTCAACACCACATCAAGGAATTCTCCCAAAACATCTGTTGTGCAGATATACATACATACACAAATAATAATGACAACATCAAATAGAAACACCTATAATGAATAGAGAAAATGTACAACAGAAAAGAATCAGACACTATTATGTACACATGCACATCTCATCGACCGTAAAAAAAATTCATCTTAATTCTTCCACATCTTCAGGGTTTGATATTTTCAATAACTCCCCGTCTCTTCATCTGGTAAAATCGCGGTTAAAAGAGAATATTTTACTTTAAGCGATATTTTACCCTTCTCCACAAAAAGCCTTGCCCCAGACACAACCCAGTAGCCAGGCAAATCTTGTGGTCCTCTTGTCATTTCTGTTGTGTCAACAAACTTCAGAAGTTTAGGTGATTGAGCAGGTACAGGAGGACCTCCAGGGTATAAAGCAGAGTTGACATTTACGTCCGATGGCTGTGGCGGTGGCAGTTTTTGTGGACCTGAAAACCGAGTGCTGATGAAAGTTGATATCATTCCGGATTTCTGAGTCAAGCCAGGCGAACCATCCCATTCAGGTTCTCTCACACGTGTTGCGTTGGCAACTTTACAGAAGTGAAGCCTTAGGAAGAGAACTTTCTTCAGACCAGCTTCTCCCACTTCGAAGTGAGCACCGGTCACAACAGAATTGTCCTCGTAGGATTGAACAGGAGCCGTGCAAATATGAGAGAAACTCTTCCACTGGACCTTTTCATAGTATCTACGTTCTAAAGAGGTATCGGATGCATTTCCATTAGTCTCTCCCTCAAGTTGGAAAGTCTTGGGGAGGGAGGAGAGATGCTGTAAATGGATTGCCAAACAATTACTTTTCTTTCCTTCCAAATGCAATCGAAGACCTGTCACAGGCTTCATTCCTACATCAACCTGTGCGAAGTTTGGGGTCAGACCAAATTTATCATCACATTTGTCACGTACAGAATATCTAACATTGTGCTGTTTTGAATATATGTTAAATAAAGAAACTAAGATTTCTAAGTGTCTTCATCTCATTACAACAAAAAATTTATCTCATGAACACTAAACAGCAATGACTTGGATTAAAAAAACATTACGCGTAAAGAAAGCAGCATTACCGGTGTTGTGTTCACATAGAGCTTAGGACCCATGAAACTGAACTGTAAAGATGAAGAACTATGCGACTTCCTATCAGGACCAAGAACAAGCTGACCAAATACAGGGGCCCATTGCCTTGGAAGCTGGAACTCCAAAAATTGATGCAGTTCATCAATTGTCGGTTTATCTGCAGTTAGAAATTACAGTGGATGATGCTTATATTTCACATGACATTTCTTTATAATCTCTTGAGCAAGGACTAAATGTGAATAAGTAAATGACTAAAGGAGTCATGTTTAGTTGCTTACATCTTAAATAGAGATTTATGGCATGGGTTAAATAACCGCTCCCATTTATTCCACCAAGTAGGGATGTAATTGGTACGAATGACATTGATATTACATCAGGTTGAGACAAAACGGTTTGGCACCACTCATTATGTTTTAAATCGTTCCTCCCATTTCCACCTTTCCTTTTGCATATAAACTTGATATCCTGAACCTAAAATGTTCAATGAGAAGGACAAAAACAGTAAGAACCTTGTTGTGTTTTTCTTTTGTAAGTTAAATAATTATATAAAGTTCTAGTCACCTCGGATTCATGGTAGGACTGAGCTTGAATATCCAGGAATCCTAGTCCGTTGTCCTTCATAAACTAGGAGGAAAAAAAGGAAAATATAAGTTATGCTGATTCTGTTAGCATAGGGTAATGTAATCAGAGATATATGGGATTGACCCATATATCGCACATGAAAAACACGGTGAAGTCTTATACAATCCAAATTTAAAGAGAACAAAAAAAAAGAACCCGATAAGCTTTAAAACCTTTTCTTTCTTATTAAATGCCCCATCATTATTGTTATATTGTCCAGCCTGGCGCAGGAAGAATTCGTCTGCCAAGTCTTTCAATTTTTTTTGTACATCAGAAGGTTGGAGAGGAGACGAATACAGCTGCTTAGCATAAATTATATCGGTTCCCCCTATTTTAACCCCGACTACAGCATGGGTTCCATATTTCTCAATGAACCTGAAAAAATACGATGAAAAGATTATCTACAAGTTGCAACTCAAACATCGCAAGTGGATTCATTAATTCAAAAACTGGAAAAACAGTTAAAAGTGTATACTAAACAAGTTTGAATTACAGTATAAATGTTGTGGAATCTACAGTGATGCAAACAATGAAGCAGGATTAAGCACAAAACCTCAGCTTTACATTATATTATGCACAAAACCTCTATTTTTGCATGTCCAAAATATTCTTTCTTACAAAAACCATCTCATATTAATAACATAAAGTACCTAGCCAACGCGGTGGGATCCCACGACGAAGGAACAGCTTGTTTGACATGATCACTCAGAACCACATGTGCTTTATCAAGTGCTATGTTGTAAAGTGTAATGGAGACACCATCAAATGCAAGACTCTTGGTATTGGCCGCATCTCTTTGCCAAACTCCTGAAAACTGAAACGCAGAATTGAAATGGCCCGTCGGAATCTTACCCGACAACGACACCTCCAGGTTGAACTTCTCTGACATCTAAATCATAAACAAAAAAAAAAAAAAAACATACATGCCTACTCAGTCACACCAACAATCACTACCCTCCAATACTTCAACAATCATAACAACAAACACAAAAGAATTTCATTTCACCTCAACAATATAACAAGTGTAGGTAGGACAAATTTGGTCATAAAATAAACCAAATTCTAAAATAACCCTGCAATTATAAACTACCAGAAACACAACATTGAAACCGACACTAACACAGACACATCTTTTCAGACATATTGGTTCTACAGAGATTATAAATCGTCTATCATAGTACTATTATTAGACATTTTGGATTTATATCATAAAATAACTTTTAATTTCTAAAATTGGTTCTACAGAGATTATAAATCGTCTATCATAGTACTATCTTAGGAACTAAATTTATCATTAATTCTAAAATTAGTAAGTTAAATAAAAAACTTCTAGTACAAGTTCAGTTCCCTAGACCCACATAATAAACTTGAACTAAAACTAAAAAAAAAAAGGAACAAACTTTACAGTTAAGAAACAGAAAAAGAACGAAAAGCACCTGCTGAAAGGAAAGAACATCAGAAGACAATCTCATACGGTCGCCTTTATCGCAGTTAATCGATTTGGGGACATTGGGGATCGAAACGCGGCCGGGAAGCTGAACAGTCCGAAGGTCGTGGTGATCAATAGCAATCAATTTGGAGTCAAACTTGCATGACTTGAGTTTGAGATCGTTGGTGAGATCGTAACCTAATCCAACGGATTTTATCACATCTTCTACAGACAGTACCTTCTTCTTGCTTGTCATGTTCACGTGATGATTGGATTGTTGTTCTTCTTCTCAATCGGTCATGAAACAAATAAGAAGTGGAGTTTGTGTTTATCGAAAGCGAAAACGAAAATGAAAAGCAAAAGAAGAAGAAGAAGAAGAAAGCGTTTAGGAATGTCAATAGTCAAAGAAATGGTGCAGTAGGAGTATTATTGTAAAACATGCTGTAATGTTTTTAAGAATACTGACTGGTCAAAGTAGTCACGTTTTCCAAGTTTTGTTTGTTTTGTTGTGAACGAGTATTGTAGACTTTTTTTTTTTTTTAAATGAACATCAAATTAATGATTTATGCATGGCTTTTGTGAATCGGTTTACAGTTAAAAGGTTCATCCTTTCAATGTCAACTCAACACACTTTTAATTGATAAATTCTTTTGTTTATTCTTTTATAATTTATAAGAACAAATAATATATTTAACACTTATAATATTTATAGATTTTTAAAACATATTCTTAGATACTTTGTATTTTAGTCGGATACTTATATCTTTAACTAAGTTAATTTAAAATTAAATTTATTTTTAAAAAATATTATAATAGAATGTCATAACATTTTCTAAATATATTATAGATAGACACCCAATTAAATTTAAAGGGTATCAAGTATTCACCAATTTTTAAATATTAAACATTATTAAAAAAAAATTTTTTGTAAAAATATATCTTTTATTAATATAAATAATTTTACTTAGAATATAAAAAGATATCATTAAATTTATTTATAAAAAATAATTTAGTATTTAAACACAATAATTGTAATATGAAATTTTCTTAATCTCATAAAAAGTTTCAAAGAATTTTAAAAATAAAAATAGAGAAGATAGATGAAAATGATTAAAAAGTAAAATGTTTTTTTTTACATTACATGAAAAAAATATTTAAAAAAAAAAGAGAAGGTTAGATTCCTCTCATGCTAAATATGTTGAACATATGACTCTACACACAAAAGATAAAATAAGGTAAAAAATATTGGAGAAAATAAAGAGAAAGGAAAAGAGATGATCTCAAATTTGATAGAGATTCGATTTAAATGAAGTGAGTTACTTCTCTCCCCAAGACTTGATATTAAGAGTATTCAATGATGTTTATGAATTTTTAGTAGGGTAAACTCACGAACCCTCTTATGTTAGACGACGACAACGTATCTAGGGTGGTTTGAATAGATACCCCTTTGAAAAAATTCCAAATAAATTTGATTTTGAAAAATTTTATCAAAGTACGACGCGAAAGTTTTTTAAATTGTCGTCTATACGAACGTTATCGGGAAACTCAAATATGCAAAGCGTAAAACAAAATTCAATATGGAATATGAATGATAATAGATTTAATAAGCTTGAATCACTTGAAACTTATTTATTTTTTAATCATTTTTACTTAGCAAGGCTATTTCCAATGGTAATATTGAAAGAACTAGTTTAGTCAATTTATCAAACACTTGGTGTGCAAGTGAATTTTTAGAATTTTTCCTTTGATTGTGTTGATACACAAAACTATTTATAATCAAAAGTGATTATAATCTATGTCAACACTTGAGGTAAAATTAAAATTGATTAATAAAATTCTTACAATTCAAATGATAACACAATGCTATCTGATAAATTGATCAATGAGTATCAAAGCAAGTAAAAAGAAAAAATAAAAGCGATACAAGGAGTTTGACTTCACAGTTCCCCACTGTTGTTCTCGTGTGTGGGTACGCCTGCGTCTAATTTCAAAGGAATTAGGATAAATCTTACTATACAAAATTGTTGATACAAGAGAAGTGTTCAAAAGCAACTCCATAAACCTTAAGCTTGTTGTTGATTCAACCCCTTATCCACTTTTGATCTCAAGAGAGACCAAAATACAATAGATGAAAAATGACTATCTGGATCTTGCTACTCCTTTGCATTCTTTATCTCCAAAGATTTCGCGCACTGTCAATTCCAAACTATTGCAACACAAGACTTCAATTCTATCCGGCACTCCAAGTTACTTCCTTGCAAAGATTTTAAGCACTTCAAGGTTGTTCACTTTACCGCAATTACCTCTCGAGCACCTTGTATGAAAACCCCCAAATCAACCAATGATCTTGGAGGACAAACCCGAGGTTTTTCCTGGATGAGAATCCCTACAAAACATCACCCAATACATAATTAGACACTAGCATTTCTCATCTAGATGGCACCCCAACGGAACATCGTTACAATATAATGTCAGTGTGTATGCATAGATTGGAGGTTGAAGATAAAGAGAGAAATAAGCTAATTTTATGGTTTTCAACAACTTATGAATGATGCGTGAAAGAGTATTTATAGTTTTGAAACTTTTAGGGCTAAAAGGGTATATTCTGAATAAAAAGATTTAAAGAAATTAACCAAACATAACAGTGTGTGTTGACCTATATATCGTATGTCTCAACACATACATGAATTTTGAACTGTATGTGTCGACCGAAACATGTCAGAAGCTACATGCTTTAAAATGATAGTAAATGTGTCGACCTAAAAAGTGGATGTGTCGATACATAAAATAAGAATTTATGCAATTTTAGAAAAGCTTTAGTATGTGTCGACCTGAATCATGCATGTGTGAGCCTAAGACTTACATAGGCTACATAATTTAATAATGGGTTACATGTATCGATCAGAAATACAGATGTGTCGACACATGCAGTGAAAAATTATGCAAAAAACTATTTTTAATAATTTGAATCAATTTCAAGATTCTTTTTAATGATTCCTAAGACCTCTAATGCAGAGGAGTGCCATAAGACATAAGGATACTATCCAATACTCAGAAGTGCGAGCGTTTTCCAATTTTGACATTATTCAAAACATTTGACGATGAAGTTTGTACTCACATACTCCCCCTTTTTTATAATGGAAAAACTTGCGACGATGCATTCCTTTGTATTTATTAAAGACTCCCCCTGACTTTGTGCTTCCCTATTTCGACTCGCAACTGCTTCTCCCTCTTTGACAATATCAAAAAGAAAGATAGCATATTGTGAGAAGTAACATAGTTCCATAATAATGCTAATACAACAATCATAGGTTATTTTGCATAGAAGAGCAACAAACACATATGTCCATATATATCATATATGTGATGATACAAAAATTTAAATAACAAGCAAGAAGCATTACAACAAATATAACGAATGGCATATACTAAATAAACAAGATATGGCAATAATGTGAAGTTATTTTTGGAGTGTCATGGACAAGTAACTCTTTATAATGAAACTCCTGACGCCGCACACACATGTGCCTAGCATAGCAACACAAATATATCACTACTAAAATCAAAATGAAGATGAGATATATGTCATGTAAGCAAGACAACAAGTAACATATATTGTAAATATCGAGCAAACAAATAATTCAAGTACAAGTGCGAAGAATAAAGATAAACAAAAAGCATGTGTTCACATGATAAAAATAGACGTATACAAATGTGAAATATTTAATACATGAAGTCATTATAAGCGTATGGATTAAGAACACACAATGGTTATTAATCAAAAAATTTGGAAATTAACATCCATGATTTTCATCATTTGAGAAAATATCAAGCATTTTGGAAGTATCTAGTAACATATATCAAGGAAAATCTTACTTTCAAGGAGAAATTGAAACTATATTACCTCACTCTTGATTGAGATCGAAGTTGCACTCACATGATGTAAAGAACTCAAACAGAGGATTAGAGTGAAGTTATAGAGTGCAAGAAATAGTATAGGATTAAGCAACATTTGAGATATCGATTATCCCCAATTCCCTATTTATGTTGACAAGAGGTTCCGTTGTGAGTGGTTTAGTGAAAATATCGGCAAGTTGATTTTTACTATCAACATGCTCAAACATAACATCCATTTTTTCAACATGGTCACGAAGAAAGTGGTGGTGTATCTCAATATATTTAGTGCGTGAATGTAATACATGATTTTTAGTTAGATTAATAACACTAGTATTGTCGCAAATGATAGGAATATGTGAGAGTTTAACATTAAAGTCAAGTAGTTGTTGTTTAAGCCACATAATATGGGCACAACAACTACCGGTTTCCACATACTCTGCCTCGGCCATTGACAAAGCAAAAAAAAACTTGCCTTTTGCTATGCCAACTTATCAAGGATTTTGAAAACACGCGACATGTTCCACTTGTACTTTCCCTATCCAATTTGCAACCAAAAATAATCGGAATTGGAGCAACCAATCAAGGTACAATAGTTTCCCTTGGAATACCAAAGTCCAAACTTAGATGTACCAACTAGGTATCTAAGAATGCGCTTAACAAATTTTAAGTGTGATTCCTTAGGAGCCGATTGATATCTTGCACACATACAAACACTAAACATAACATTTGGCCTAGATGCGGTAAGATAAAGAAGAGATCCAATCATACCTCTATACATTTTTACCTCAACATCCTTACCATTTTCATCTTTATTCAAGTTGCCATTTGTTGCCATAGGTGTGTCAATTTCCTTACCACTCTCCATCCCTGATGTTTTGAGTAATTCAAGATAATACTTTGTTTGACACATAAATGTTCCTTCATCAAGTTGCTTAATTTGTAGTCTAAGGATGTAGTTTAATTCTCCTATTAGACTCATTTCAAACTCTCTATGCATAAGCTTAGAGAACTCCTTGATAAGATGCATATTAGTTGATCCAAAAATGATAACATCAACATAAATTTGAACTAGTAAAATATGCTTTCTTTAACGTTTAATCAAGAGTGTGGTGTCTACATTTCCCCTAGAGTAACCTTATTCAAGCAAACACTTACTAAGTCGGTCATACCATGCCCTAGGGGCTTGTTTAAGACCATACAATGCACGTTTTAATTTGAACACATGATTAGGAAACTCATAAGTTTTAAAACTGGGAGGTTGAGTAACATACACTTCTTCACTTATGTATTCGTTAAGGAATGCACTTTTTACGTCCATTTGATATAACTTGAAATTCTTAGAACATGCATATGTTAATA